TTTACATCTTCTCATCATAAATTTATATAAAAAATTGTAAAATTTAATATTAATTTTAATTTTATTATCATGTCTATAAATTTAATTAAATAATTAATAAATTAAATATTAATTTTGGTTTCTCCAAAGCTGTTAAGGCAAAGGTTTTAAAAAAAAAACCCTTCAGAATTCTCCACTTGAATCTTTCCTCGAAGTCTTCATTGAACAGCATGATTGAACAGCATGACAGATCTTTACTTCCAGTCTTCACTGATCAGCGTGACAAAAAGCTGGATTGAGGCTAGATGAACTGTTTTCATATGTGAATTAATTGACCTCTAAGTCAACTTATGACAAAATTTAGACTGAAATTCATAGTATCTCTATGACATTTCTTTTTTAGTAAAAAAATGTAAGGGAAATTACACATAACATATCTATGATTTAAAATGAGTATATTTAAAAATTTATGGTATTAAAATATATATTTAAAAACTTATATTTTAAACTAAGAGTAACAAGACACTATTACTATTCAAAAGTTAATAAAAAACTTCACTTTTTATCTCAATTCCTCTAATACCTTTTCTCCTTAACTTTGTTGTCTCGCCCAACAAAACAAAATATATGTACACCAAAAATACATAAAAGATAATAATAATTAATTAATTCATTTATTTTAATTACCCACCTCTAAACCACTCGCACAATTCAATTTAAAAAAAATATTTTGCATGTGTAAAATATTCACAATTAGCATTACAGTTAAAACTAATTGAAATTAAATATGCATAAAATCATGAATATATTATTTATAATGGCAAACAACAAATGTAGAACTTATCAATTTTCAAATAAAACCCATAAATTTTAAATTATAAACAAGTAACAAAACTCTTTATTGAATACAAAAAATTCCATAGAAGAAAATTAAAAACAAAACTTCACTTTGAAATATAAACTACAATAGATTAAAAGATTTTGTTTGGTTATATGCAAAGAGTTATTTTATTTGGTTTTTATTTTCATTTAAGTTGATTTTTGAAGATTACCATGAAACAAAGTTTGCAATGGTTGAGTTTTTTTTTTTTTCTTTTTTTTCTTTTTTTATTCTCTGAAGTTAAGAGTATTTAGGATATATATTGCACATAATTTTATGGCAGAATACCCAAATCCGCCCTCAAAGTATAATAGCAGGGACGGATCCACCCTCGAACAAAAAATGGGGACAAATCCACCCACAAAGTTTTTAATTTAGGCAAATCACCCCAAATTTAACGTGTAACGTCATTTGACATCAGCAATATGTTAATTTGACGTCATCTGATGTCAGCAATCTGTTAACGAATTAACGAATTGCTGATGTCAAATGACGTTCCACGTTAAATTTGGGATGATTTGTTCAAGTCGAAAACTTTGTGAGTGGATTTGTCCCCGTTTTTTGTTCGAGGGTGGATCCGTTTCTGCCACTATACTTTGGGGGTTGATTTGGGTATTTTACCTAATTTTAATATCATTTAAACAACAAAAGTGGTTTAGTACTAATGGTTTAAAGCATAAGTCTTTAAATGTACATTTTAACATTACATGCTTTTAAATCATATATAATTTCCTACACTTGGATCTCATGAGCCAACGATCATTGACTAACTTGTAA